TTTCTATTAAGAGTTCAGCTTTGCTTTTCTCTGGAATCCACTTATTTGTCTTCCAGTAGACCAAGGCCCCCATTAGACTCTCCTTCAGCTTAACATTTTGAATATATCAGCTTTTTTTCTGTTAGCTTTTTTCACTGTCCAGCTTTCACATCTATACATTGTAATTGGGAGTACTATATTATGGATGATCTTGGTCTTGATTGCCAGTGACATTTTCTGACACTTGAGAATGTCTCTAGGTTCCTTCATAGCTGCACTTCCAAGTCTTAATGTTCTGATTTCTTGGCTGCAGTTACTATTTGAATTGATGATTGAACCAAAATAAAGAATTTTGTTTAATATTCACTTGTAAATCTGCTTTTGAATTTTCTTCCTTAACCTTCATTAATAAATGTTTCCAGCCATTGCTTTTTTGTTGTAAGTAATATACTGTCATCCATATATTTTAAATTATCAATGTTTCTTCTACCAGTTTGCACTCCTCCTTATCTGAATCTAACCCATCTTTTGGTATATAGTAATACATTTGCATGGGACGTGGTGGTACTGCGGGTTAAACCGCAGAAGCCTCTGTGCTGCAAGGTCGGAAGACCAGAAGTTGCGTGTGAGCTCCTGTCACGTGTCCCAGCTCCTGCCAACCTAGTAGGTAACGGTGGTAACGGTGTTACGTGTCTAGTCACACTGGCCACGTGATCACAGAAACTGTCTATGGACAAACGCTGGCTCCATGGCTTGGAAACGGGGATGAGCACCACCCCCTAGAGCCGGACATGACTGGACTAAATGTCAAGGGGAAGCTTTACATTACATAATACATTTGCATATACAGTAGTACCTCGGTTTACAAAATTAATGCATTCTACGGGATGTTACATAAAGTGAAAAATTTATAAATTGAAACGTGGATTGCTATAGGAATGGGGGCGGCTCTACAAACCTCCAGGCACAATGCATCCTTGGAAAACTTTCTTCGTACTCAAAAAAACCCCATAAACTGAGGCATTATTTTGCATGGATTTTGCCCCATAAACTGAAAATTATGTTAACTGTGGCATTTGTAAACTGAGGTACAACTGTAGAATTAACAGAAAGGAGGTAAAATGCATCCTCATTTTACATCTTTGCTAGTGGGAAACTGTTTTGTTCTCCATATTCTGTCTTAACATTAACCTCTTGTCCAAAGAACAAGTTACACATCAGAGTAATCAGATCGGCACACCTATTTATACTATAACAATATATACTTTTTCATGATGTTCACATGTAACTAATAATAACTAAATTTCTTCTGAAATTCTTTGGCATGCTTCAGTAGCAAGCATACATTTACATTATAATTTCTACTGCCTCTTTCTTTCTTAATCCACCTTGGACATCTGAAACTTTTTGCTCTATGTTCCAGTTGTATTTGTCTGCAGTGCCAGACTTTCCTTTTGTCTCTGCACCTCAGCAGTTAATAATATTTTAGCTTTAATTCTCTTACCTCGTTACCAGTAGCACTATTCATACTTGCCCTTTGCTCTTTCCCAGTAGTTGACTGGGTGTCTTCTGATCTGGGAATCTCATCTTCCATACCTAGCTCATGTTCTGAATTATATGATAGAGTTTTCTGGATATTCATATTTGTAAGTAGTTTGATACCACTCAAGTATCACTGCCATCATTTATGGAAGATCTTCTATTACAACTGACATTTTTAAAGCCTATCTCTAGTCTTGCAGTTTTATTACTATTTTTAAGTCCTGCTGGCTGTGGTTAGAGATTTTATACAGGTGAGTAACATGAAACTGAATCCAAACAAAATTGTAGTTGTGATGACTGATACTATAGCATGATCGGTTGTAACAGTGGCTAGGAATGTGGCTGATTGAGCTGCATCTTGTTTGGTCATAGTTTATAGCAGGAATAAGTAAAATTTGGCCATGCAGTTGTTGATGTACTGCAGCTCCCACCAGCCCTACCTAGCAGATATAATAGTGGAGAATGCTGAGAGCTGGATTCCAATAACCTCTTGAAGCCACACCTCACATGCCTGGCATACGGTTTCAGTATTTGACTGTTACAGTATGCTGTACTTTGAGCTATGCTTGAGCCACAGTTGCTATAGAAGGCAATCAGTGCCTGTGTTTGAATGTAACTCTAGTCTGGGGTATGATCTTCAGACCCTTCATTTATTCTTTGTTTCCCCTCACTTTAGTATCGATTGTGCTGGCAGTGACTGATAAGAGAGGCTGACAAAATCAGGAAACTATGCCTTGCCCAATTCAATACTAAACCAATGTTTTAAAATGGTTGTAGATGCCATTCTTGGGCACTTGGATATTGCTGTATTGCAACTCCCAGCATGCCCGTTCTGCATTATAATTCAAGATAAATTCTTCCTGATTTAGGCCTCTTGTATTTTGTACCTTCTCTATGGCCCAGTTTCACAATAGAGATGAACCAAGATCCCATGTTTATCATTATTATTCAAGAACTTTGTTTCAGTAAGGGTGTATGTCTGTACTGCCAGTCGCTGATCTATATCTGATTTCTCTTCATTAAATCCAGTGGATGAGCATTTCCTGGATGTATTTTTAAGATTTTTCTGTTTAGGTTGATGTACTGTGGCCTTGATTTAAAATGTTTAGCTTATTTAAATTATTATTTTAATCCTGTGCCAATATTTTTAAATATTTAATATTCTTTCTTTGGACTTACTATCAAATATGAGCTTTATGGAGCTGAGACCTTCCAAACCCACATAATGAATACATATAAATCATTGCTACCCACTATATAAGACTATTCTGCCAACCTAGCAGTTTGAAAGCATGTAAAAATGCAAGTAGATAAATAGCTACCACCTCGGTGGGAAGGTAACAGCGTTCCGTGTCTAGTCGCGCTGGCCACGTGACCACTAAAACTGTCTTAGGACAAACGCTGGCTCTATGGCCTGGAAACGGGGATGAGCACCGCGCCCTAGAGTCGAACACGACTAGACTAAATGTCAAGGGGAACCTTTACCTGTATAAGACTATCAGCAGAGGAACAACCTGACTTTAAACCAACTAAATAATTTATCTGTTCTTCATATATGAAATCCATATTGCAGTACCTGAAATGAAACTTTTGAGGATACAGTGTATTTTAGTTTTCAGTGCCAACAAAATCAGAATTTCCATCTCCTAAAGTTGTTGCAGATAGAGAAATATAAGAGGGGATCGACACTTTTGATGGAAGCAGAGGGATCCAACAGAAGTACACCACTGGAGGAAAACAACCCTCTTATGTGTGAAAAGTAGCAGTGTAATTTTACTCATATATCTAACATGGGATAAATATACTCTGGGAATTATTGTGAAGTTATGCAATTACAACTTTTCCAGTAAAATTAAGTTTCTAGTTCAAACAAATTATTTCTAGGTAGAGAACACCCAGAAGTGGTTTACTGTTCCCTTCCTCTGGGGGTGTCCTGGGATTGTCCAGATTGCTCACGACTACATAGGCTGGTCCTTCTCCCTGGAGGCACAGTGGGGATTTAAACTTCCAACTTTGAGCACTTCCTGATATCTAAACCACTGAGAAACATTCCCTCAAGTTGCCGGCTATTTTTTCTTGGGAGAGGGATAGCTAGAAAAGTTTTTATACTGAAATAGAAATTCTTTGCTAACTTTGGAAATCTGACAGAAGAAAAAAATCCTTGGATGTTACTAGATTTTGCTCAGGAAGACAAGAGATGGCACTTCAGTGTGATCTACTGAAAAACCTGCTCTTTATGAAAAATGAGTCCTGAAGATTCATCTTTGTTACAGTGTCACCATTTCATTAGGTTAAACCAGTTAACATTTACAGATGCAGAATAAGGATGTGATGTACAGTATTCAAATCCTATATTTATATTTGGTTCAGTGCCTGCTAATGACAGTTATCTTTTCCCTTATCTTGTATCAGAGGATATTGAGTTTGGTTAGAGTTGACTGCAGGCTACATGGATTTCAGAGGAAAGAAAGATTATTTGAATGTATGCAGATTTTAAATATACTGATCACCTCCTTCCACGGACATCCTTTAAAAAGTCCCATCTAGTTGGTGCTTAGCTACTTTGAAGGCCTTATCCTTTTTTAACATTCCCTTCCTTCATCAAAATGTTTTGATTAAAAAATAATAGTGCAGGTACAAATTATTGCTTTTGGGAACAGGGTGGATAACTATCATCATTTTGCTGATTCAGTACCTAATTCAAAGTGTGGGAGAGAAAAAGTTCTTAAGAGTTGATTGTAAATTATTCATGTCAATGATGAGAGTTAGTTGTGAATGTAAGCAGAACGTGGATTAGATCAGCACGGGAAAAACTGATGAAGAGAATAGCACTGGAAACTCAGAAACAGGTTCTGTATAACTGGGTGTGGGATGTAGATGTTTGCTATCACTTATGTGTAGAAAAAAAGCAAAAGAGAAATATTTAAAAAGACAAAGTTTATAGATACAATTCTACTTGGATAGCATCTACACAAGTATATGTAGGGTTACAGGTTTTTCACATTTAAATAAAATTTTAACAACAATAGAGATGTGAACAAACAAGCAATCAGTTGTCTGGAACTAGCATATATTGTGATGACCAAAGATTCTAACTGTGCCCAGTTGTCTGGAACTAGCATATACTGTATTGTGATGACCAAAGATTCTAACTGTGCTCATCTCTTTAAATCATTTGGGAGTCCATGCTGTGATACAAAACAGAAATATAGTGTGTATGGACCATTGTATTCCTCTACAGCCAGATAACTGAGGTATTCAAACCAACCCCCTCCCATTTGTTAACTTGTAGCCTATTGCTTACCTGTACGTAGTCTGTTGTAGCAAAAACAGCACATTGAGTCTCTTGTGTTGTCTTGAGAACTATTTTGCTAACACTTTCATGGACTATAGCCCTCTGCTTCTGCATTTTCTAAGTGCCATGCAGCTCTTCATTGTTTTTGTGGCAACATTTTGACTGACTTTTTTTAAAATTTTAGGTATATTCTGTATTGCATGAATGGAAGTTTAAGAAGTCTTGCCACTAAATAACTGTGAAAATGGAAACCTCATCTCTGCTTTCATCCTTGCACGATGAATGCAGATCAGACAACTACCTTGAACCACACTACAAGGAATGTTACAGACTTGCCATTGATGTACTAATTGAACATGGTTCAGAGGCTTATCAAGAGTTTCTAGCCAAGGAAAGGTGCTCAGAGTTTCTAGCAGATGATGAGATTAATTATATATTGAACACTGTTCAGAAGATCCCCCAAAATACAGTTTATGCTTCTGACAACACTGTTGATGATACCTCTTCCTCGGGAACGTATTGGCCTATGGAATCAGATGTGGAAGCTCCTAATCTTGATTTGGGTTGGCCTTATATAATGCCTGGGATTTCTGGAGGTACAAACATTGAGCTGCTCTTCCATCCTCCACGAATACAACCTTTTACGATAAAGGAAACTATCCGGAAGATGATAAAAGAAGCAAGAAAGGTAAATATTTGCAAACCTTTTAAAGTTATTTTTTTTATGATATATCAATGACATACTGATTTTCATTGGGAGTTCAGATCACTATCACATCAAAAAGCAACATTTTTAGAAATAGCTTGTGAATGTTTGTGAAAGCCTCTTGTAAATGTGGCTATCTTTAATACCACAGAAGTGTTAGAAACATTGATAGCAAAATACAAAGGAACATGAAACAGGCAAAAGAAGGAATTTGGGGTCAAATAAATGTGTTATGTTGATGCTTCCAGTTTAGTTTTTGTGCTTTAAAATTATTTGTGGAGGGCTAATTTGGATCAAAGAAGGGGGGATCTACATTTTTAAGCCCACAGCTAATTCTTTCTGGGGCTAATCGCAGCTTATTGGGTGCTTGATAGCATAAAGAGTGAATTGCTGCACCTTCCCACAGACAATGGCACGAGGTCAAATGAGGAGTGGGTAAATGGTGCTTTGACAAAAAGAAGTTCTAAATATTGCACTATACTGTAAAACTTTGAAATCTCCTTATTTTCTTGAATGGTTCAAAGAACTTCTAACTTGTGTTGATTCCAATGGAGGAAACATGTTTTTACCTCTCCTACAAGAAATCAATTCGATTGCCTTTAAATGTAAGATAAGAAAATCAGTTTTAAAGCAGGAAAGCATGAGGTAACTACAGTTCATGCATATTTGTATTTCATCTATGTTGATATTTTTCACTGTGGTATCTAATACTAATTCTGGAAGTAGTGACTATTAGTGTTTTAAGACATATTAGTGATATAGAGTCTTGCAGGAGCAGGAGTGACATAGAGCTGTCTAGTCCAGTGGTCCCCAACCCCTGGTCCATGGCCCGGTGCCAGGCTGTGGGCTTTGCAGGACCGGGCTGCGGAAACAGATCTCCCGCCGTGGGCTTTGCAGGACCAGGCTGCGGAAACAGATCTCCCGCCTCCCTCGCACACATGCACGATGGTTGTGGCACGCTCTCAAGCATCTACAGGTGAGCGGGCACATTCATGTGTGGGCATGGCATGCTAGTGGGTGAGTGGGGCATGCGCGCGTGTGCCACACCGACCTGCAAGCACGCCACACCCATCCACACATGTGCATGAGCACACCAAGCCCGTCCACGAGCGCCCACTTTGATCAAGAAGATCAAAGCTGTTCGTTACGTAAATTGTCCCTATTCAAGCATAAACATCAAAATATTGGAGCATAAAAATTTGTTTCTCTCTTTATATCTCTCAGGTTGAATCCTCCCTCTCTTTTGACCTCTTGATGTAATGCTTTAAAAAGTAGGGACACTTTCATTCCTTCCCTGTTGTTTGCATAACATTCCTCTACCTTGATATGTGCTTTGCACTCATCTGTTTGTCATAAGATTTCCATTTAATTTTGGCGTGGGAGGTTGAGTGACAGAGCATTTTTAAAATTTAGATCCTTCCTTTGGAATACATCTATGAACTGACATGGAGCTCTGGATTGAGCCATTATCATTTTATTTTGATATCTTCTGTTGATTTAAGTGATCAGTTTGATCAATGGTGCCATTGCTAGCAAGTAAGTGACTAGGAAAGACGTATCCCGGAAGCTTGTTTAGCTACTGAAACAGTTCTATGACTGTAACATTGAGTGGCAAAATTGTCTTAAGCTGTAGCATTAAGATAATGAATCCTTTTGAGCTGTACAGATCACTTGGGTACTTTGGGACATTTTTGGACAACCTTAAAATGGAAGCAAGAAATCTATTTGAATGCTGTACAGTATTATATAATGTAACCATTAAATTATTATTTGTTCAGGGTTGAAGATTCAGGTCCCTCTTAAACAGTTGTAAATGGTGTTACAATACGTTTTTTTCAGTGTACCCTTTGAGAAAATAGTTTTGTAATGTTTTGTCAAAGGTTGTTTAGATCAGTGACATTTCTTTTAACTAGGTAGGTGCAACAAATGCATTATCCAAACAAAGAAAGACCTAATACTGTACATTAATTATCTTTGTCAGTTAGCATCTTGCTTTTGTCAATAATTTAACTTACTTTATGACTTGTGGCCAAACTAATAATTCTGTTTTTGTGTAGCTTTAATTAATATGCTCTTTCTCTATGTAAATAGCTTTAAGGAGACTTGAGCATCTGTTTGGGCTGAAAAGTGGAAATTGGGTCCCTGCAGAAGACCTAAGAAAAATTGACCTTCAGATGTTGCTGTTTGCAATCCAAAAGAAACTTCTGCTAATACTGATGGAAAAATATAAACAGCCAATCAAATAGGTACCAGAAAAGCCTTTGCACGCAAAGTGGCACCTTTTAAGTGCTGACGCACACAGGAGAACCCAGGAGGCTGATAGATGACACAAATGCACAGACAAAACACACACATACACAGCCAGGGTATGCGTGTGTTTTGGAGGAGATATGGGCTGAAACTGGCTGGCTGTAAAGTGGAAGAGAGAGGCAGTGATGGTGGTGGTATTAATATTTTGCCTGCCTTCCTGCCTTCTAGCTGCAGGTTCCAGGGTTTGCACACCAACTCGGTGAAGAGATTCATCCTTGGGTTGATCTTGCCTTATTTCCGCTCCCTCTCATACACATCCTTCCCTCAGGTTTTGGAGAAGATTTGGGCAAGTGAGCAAGCAGTAGGGGGTTCCTACAGGCTACTTGATGACAGGCTTCTCTCCCATTCCTTGTTTTTTAACATAACAAGAGCAGCAGCAAGTGGCTGCAGAGTTAGCCAATGGGAGGGCTATTTAAAAATTAACCCAGACAAATGTGTTCTCATGGGGGAATTGATTTAAATGAATTGACTCCACATCCATGTTAAAATAAATGAAATTCTAATGGAGGAGTAAAAAAAAAACTTGCTACTGCTCCAAAAAAAAAAAAAATGATTTAAATAAACTCATTCCCCATTCACATTAAAATAAATGGACCTCTGGTGGAGGAGCAGAAAAACTCACTTCTGTGGAATATTATTCTGCACATGCATGTACCTCATATGTACACCAACATTTAAGCCTTTTATTAAAAAGTGGAAGTCAATACATAGCAGTTTTTATTGTCAGAGCCCTTAGACAAATCCACATCCTGTAAGAAAATTAGGAGATATTTCGGTTTCAGTCGTTGGTTTTTCTATTTCCTAAGATCAGCCAAAAGAGGTGGTATACATACTCAGAAGGATATATAAAATAATATTAAGCAGACACCATAGGGCCTATTGTAAAAATAAGGACTTTGAGAAAGGACTTAAGGGTAGAAAAAAAGGTTAATAAGATGTACGTGTTTTTAAGTCCTTACCTTAAATTATAGGAATAAATTATTGTGTTTGGATAAGTCCATCAGTGAAAACAGGTAAGAAACATACCTTGAAACAGAATAACTTATAATCACAATTAAATAATTAAGAAAAATTACAGATAACTACAGTATATTGTTTTTCATGCAGAAAAGCCAGTATTGTTTCTAGGGATAATCTTTCCCTCAAATACTGAATATCACATTTTATCAGCTGTGGTGTTTATCACTGATTAGAGAAATGACAACATCATATACTCATATTTAACTACCCCTTAGGTGCAAAGGTAACAGCGTTCCGTGTCTAAGTCGCACTGGCCATGTGACCACGGAAGATTGTCTTCGGACAAAGCGCTGGCTCTATGGCTTGGAAACGGGGATGAGCACCGCCCCCTAGAGTCGAACACGACTGGACAAAAATTGTCAAGGGGAACCTTTACCTTTACCTTTACTAGGTGCAAACAATGGACATTGTTCTTAAATCTTTCAAGAATCATTCTGAAACATGCAGGATTTCTTGCTTTGATGAGTTATTTGGGATGTATTTGTGGTGTCAAAGATTACATGAGTTTGAGGAATTTTACTGATGATGTATGCTCCCAACAGTTTCTGATTTACTCTCTTGGAAAGAGAGAACATGAGCAAGCTTGCTGAAACCCATGCTGATATCTGTAAATAATCTGAAAATGGATGATATGATGAAATCAATGTAACAGTGATGAAATAGCTAATGAAATAATACACCAGCACTTTGCCTACAGATTGTAAAGAGATTTAAAGATAGCATATGCTTTGACTTCCAAATACAAAATAATTGCAATATGACATTTCAGAATATAGCAATGTCTTTAAAGCATTTTGGAGAAGTCTAGTATCTATTCAGAGACAATATATTTCTCATTTGTGCTTGAGAACAGCAAGAAAAGGAGTGTACTGCCTCCATATGTAGCCTGTAGGTTTCCCCAGAGGCTTCTGGTTGGTTGCTGTGTAGAATGTGGGGCTACCTAAATAACTCTTTCTACAGTATTCTGTAAACTAATGAATCATGTTGCTCACTATAAGATTTTTGTATCCTTTTTGATCTATTGCTTGAAGTTGGTTGTTATACATAATAAGGTCTTTTAACTCTGAAATTGTCTGTCATGGCAACCCCATTTGGTTCAGCCATTATGTTTAGATGTGTTCTTAAAATCCTGCTACTTCAAAGGTTTTGAGAATCAATGATTATTAGGTATGTTCTTAATTTTACCAGCTAGTTTGAGTCCAAGCTGTATTATCTTCCTTATTGTTTAGTCTTTTATTTTATTTTAATGAGTATTTGTATCTTCACGGATTGCTGCCTTATCGTGGTGCAGGAGCTTGAGTAATTCAGAGAAGCTATGGGTGATGCCATGCAGGGACACCCAAGATGGACAGGTCATAGTGGAGAGTTCTGACTAAACGCGATCCACCAGGAGCAGGAACTGGCAAGCCACTCCAGAATCTTTGGCAAGAAAATTCCATGGGCAGAAACAAAAGGCTAAAAGATATGACGCTGGAAGATGAGCTCTCAGGTCGGAAGGCATTCAACATGCTACCGAGGAAGAGTGGAGGACAAGCACAAGTAGCTCCAGAGCTAATGAAGTGGTTGGGCCAAAGCCGAAAGGACGCACAGCTGCGGATACATGCCTGGTAGTGAAAGGAAAGTCCAATGCTGCAAAGAAAAATACTGCATAG